CAACCTAAGCCAATACAGTTTCTAATTTTAATGTCATATCTTCACCAGCCTTCTTTAGTGAAAGTAGTATGCTCGTTCCTGCAGATCTAAGCAATATTTAGAGGGTCTTTGACATCCATTTTTAGGGGAAAGTGAATTTTAAAATAGTAAATAGATGGGGAACGTGTGGATGAAAAAAAAAGAAAAGTTTTTGATTTACATATAATATTATTTTAATGAAGAATGTGTGGTTAAAAGAAGAAAGAAAAATACATTTTGAGAAAAATGGGAATCAAGTGGGGCTGTAATTCGCAGAAAGGGAAAAAGATGACTACTGTAAACGAAAGTCTGACTGTAAAATTTATCTAAAAGTCGGGAAGAATTGACATGAACTAGAGAATGTCTCTGGCACTTATGTTAGGACTTAATGACCATTTATCTGTCGCCACTGACAAACAAAACAAAAATCAATCTTCTACTATATGCTATATGCAGCAGTAAACTTAAAGTTGTAACAAAGCATCTGATTGTCTTGAGTTGATATCCTCAAACATGTTTAAAATGTGAGCATCACATTGTCATTAATATTTATGTAGTACTCACAGGAATAATTCCAATCTTTTTAACCTTCAAGTGAATAGGAAATTTTGACACCCACCTCACTTTGATGAGCAACTACAGATTGAATAGGCTTGCTGACTGATGGAGAACGGAGATCCCATATATGCAGATACTGATCATCCCCAACTGAACCAAACAAGTACTCATGCCCAAGATGCCATGCTACATCTTCGACAACTCCTTCATGAATCTATCTTAGCATGAATTAGATTGTTATACACAAAACCACGCATGTCAACATTATGAACTTGGGAATAATATCACAGATGTATAAATTTATAACACATCGCAGATCAGAGCAAGAATATTGTACTTATAAGCATGAAACTTATTTACATCATACCTTAAATATCTGCATTGCATCTAGAGCCTTATTTTTGGGAGTTGCATTGATGTCCCACAAACATATTTGGGCATCATCAGAACCACTCAATAAATGACCATGCTTGAATTGACTCCAGGACAAACCATACCCTTCACTATTGTGGCCCCTCAGCCTCAGATCAGGGTTACATGCACTGCCTACAGGGGGCTTAGATGGATGTTTGCTATAATCAAATACATAGACCTCTGCACTAACTGTTTTAGTGGCAATAACAAATGGGTTTTGGGGCATATATCGAGCTCGGTTGACCTCTCCATCATGATTGATTTGTTGGATAATTTGCACCTGTGGGAAAAATATACTCATTATGTAATTGTAAATGACTTCGTGGCCTAAGCACCATAAACCTGAGAAGAACTCGTTTACATTACATGCATCGATAGCAAAGATTCAATTTTTATACAGATGATGGAGTAAATTTGAAAAAAGAACAATAAATAAAGCATACATTAGATCAAAACTATAATCTGGTTATTCTTGTTGCGAAAGATTGTGGCAAAGTTTGATGTTTTTTTTTTTTTAATTTACTTATCAACCATATTGCAGAATGTCGAAGTCCAGTGTCTAAAACAAGTCCCAATTGCTTACACATGATTGAATCCCAAAACTTAAGGAGGCAACCACGCTACAGACAATAGGTGCGAATAATTATTTGATGAAATACTTTAAGCTGATCCAAATCCAAGACACCAAATTTTAAAGATGCAAGCATGCAACAGTACCATCTCCACAAAACTCTAACCAGATCAATTGTTGTTTTACAAAACCAAAGATTCCTTTTTTCCTTTGACGTGCGAAAACAAAAATGTCATGTTTGGCAGCATAAGCTTGAAGCCTAGTTATTGGATTTCAAGAAACACATATTTGAACGAAATGAATCGTTTCTACCACTAATTAGACGCCCCACTTCCATAGTACCAAATAACCAATGCTGTACCTAACAACAAAAAATAACTAGATTTTACAATAAAAAAACCTTGCCGTCGGCACAGCCAAACCCCCCAAAATCTGAGCGGTCATCCTCGTAATGTCTAGCGTCGTTCTCAGCATCCTCGAGAGGAAGCTGAACCTGAGCTAGCATGAGATAATTGGGCTCGTCCTCCGAAGTATGAGTCCCAAGAATCATCTTCTGGACCGAGTAATCCTTCCCTGGCGGCTCCTCCCGGTCCGGCAGCCACTCGACGGTAAGAGACGGCCATTCAAGAGCTTGAGTAATTACCAGATCGTACAGGAATGGAGTATTCTTCTTCCAAATTTTGTACTCCTCATTAATCAGCCGCTCCTCTATTTCCCCTCTAATCTCATCCTCATCTTTCCCCATTCCTAATTCTTCTCTTCAGAACCTGATTGCAATGATGATTTTCAGGCTTAGAATTCTCTATCAATTGGATGAATTTTCCCTTTCGTTTTCCTTTGTCCTTCTGGGAAGAGAATTGGAGGGAATTCAGTAGATATTTGGCTCCACTGACTTCTGAGGTTATATCCAAGGGTTTTAATAGCGGGATGGGTCGAAACTTACTCCCAAGCCCAAAATCAATAGATTTGGTCAGAATTTTTCAACCAAATGAAAAAAAAAAAAAAAAATTAAATAAATAAATAAAAATAATTCTTGCTCTTTTTTTGATACATCATCTATACATAAATCATTATATAACTTCATTCTATATAAATAAATATATATTTTCTTCAAAGTTTTCTTTCCTAAATCTACAAATAATCATCTCAAATATATAAGTTTGTAAATTTCTGAATTTTGATTTAATTAATTTATACTTTATTCGATTTTGACATTGTCGAGATATTTGTATTTTAGTACCTATGAAATTTCATATATATAGATTGATAATTTTGAGTTAGTATATATTGAAATCTAGATTTATATGAATTGGATTAAGTTAATATATACGAAAAATCAATTTTGGATTACTTTAATTGATTTATGCAGAGTGTATTTAAAAATAAGAATGAGTGCATAGATGTGTGTTTGTGAAAAATTATATATATGAACATGAATCCAAACCTTACTTTACATTAAAAAGTGAGACGATGTAACAATTTATTAGTATTTTGCTTATTAATTAAATTGCTAAAATTTTCACGTTCTCAGCGACTTCTGTTCTTCTACGAAAGATGACATTGTATTTCATAGTTCTTTGATCAATAAAATAGATGAGTAAATGCATTTGTAAAAAGTTAAATATAATTATGAATTCAAAATTTGTTTTAAAATAAAAAAAAGTGATGTAATGTAACAAATTTTATTTATTTATTTATTTATTTTTTTGCTTCTGAATTAATGCGGTGAAATCTAAAGGAGATATACTCTCTCTCTTTTTTTTAATAGTTTGTATTCTTTTTGCAAGTATTGATAAAATTGACGTCTCTAATTATTATGATGGCAAATATATAGAAGTGATAAAATGATTAAAATTATTGTTCCAATAGAATGCACACACAATAATATTTGTTAATGTACGTCACTATTTTTTTTTATTTTTTTGTGTGTGTGTGTGTTAAAAATCACGTTACGTTTTTAACAAGCTAAGTCTTAAAACTGTTAAAACGAAACTAAGTTATCATTGATATACAACTCCGTAAATATAACAACTAATGTATCCTTACATTCATACATAAGCTAAATTATGCAACAATTTTATGAAGTTCAAAATGTATTGTCACTTTTTGTTAAAAGTTGACAGTTCATATCACGTTTTTTAAGGAGTTAACATACATCACCACTAAAAAATATAAAAAATGACATTGTTTTTTTAAATCAATATTCATGAGATATGATTAACTTCCAGTTCTGTAAAAAGAAAAAAAAAAAAAAAATAGTAGTAAACGAAAAGTGACAAAATTCACAAAAGTGACAAATATTAAAAAAAAAAAGGATAAAAACTAAAAAACATGACATCAATTTGTGATTTTTTTTGGGGACTTCGGGGTTTGGAGAGGTTTTGGGTGTAACTAATATGAGAAATTTAGTTACAACTGGTTTTAAGAGTATTAATCTAATATCTATCCCCCGTTTGTTTCTCATTTTTGAAAGAATGAGAATGAAAAATATAGTAATTATAGATCCCACACGAGAGATAGAAATTCAAATTCGGTGACTTGATGTGATGGATAAATGTAATATTTTTCATTTTAATGAGAAAAAATAGGAACCAAACTGGAATGTTCTTTTTTAGGTTAGTGGGCCTAATTTTTTTTTAAAAATTTTTGGACCCACTCGACTTCGATCAGAAACAGACCGATCTGACTGGTTCAATTCAAACTTTAGTTGAAATTTTTTCCCTTGAACTATTGTGATATGATATACTTGTAATTACACGATCAAAATTTAATTCAATTCTAAATTTATTTTATATAATCTCTATATTAAATCTTAATATATATATAAACTCATAGGTCTTTAGAATAAATTGAAAGTTTTAGCGTCTAAATATTTTTGAAGTATAAGAATGGACCACGCTATTCGTACCCGGGCGTTTACAGGGCAGAGTGTGGGACCTCGACCCCCATGTGAGGTGGCCGATGGGGCCGTGTAATTTAGTGTAAACGCCTCGGTACAAACGACATTACTCTAAAAGAATTGAAAAGAAACCGATCGAACCATAATCAATCAACTCAAGTCAGAGTCCAATTTCAATTTTTTTCATAGACCGATGGTCCATTTTCACATTTTTCAAGATGCCCAATCCGAACCACTCCATACCCGCCTCTTCTTTCAAGAACACATGCTTCTTAGGATGCAAATTTCATTGGTATTTATAATATTAAAAAATAGATTTTTTTTTTGTTTAAATAAACGTATGTAGCCCCCATTAATTTGAATTATAATGGGAGAAATCGTCTTTTTTTGAAAAATGAGTGATTACAAAAAATGAAAAATTTTCGATTTACGTATAATATTATTTTATTGAAGACTGTGTGGTTGCAAAATAGGAAAGACAGAAATTTAATTTAAATTGATGAGATTTAAAGGGGGCCAAACGGGGGCATAGTTTCTCAATTTAGGAAGTCTTATGCATTTACAGAAAAACTGCATACTCACGTGCACACAAACAAATATATTGGAAATAACAACAATCTCAATTTGTTTGGCCTAAGCTATTTACAAAATTGACTACTATTTACAATTGTCCTTACGAGAATAACCATCTACCGAATAGTGAATACCAAATGCCAAAAAATGATGGAGCACACAGTAATGTAAGCAAATAAATTATCAAAAACAAATCCTGATTATGCAGTTTTAGCTTCTGGTTGGCACTAGTATAAACAAATTCCCCATGATGCCTTCTATTCACTTAGCTTATCAAATATCCAGTTGAAAACAGTCGCACTAAACCTGGACCTCCAATGCAAAATTTGTTGATTGTCGAATACCAAATAGATTGCGCCTGGTGTATTTTAAGCTGCATGAACATCCCTCGCAAGCACGGCTGAAGTACTTCATAAGATGCAATCCTGGTCTTACAGAAGGTCTATGAAAGCCGGAATTTATGGGTTCTTGTAAAGCAACACGTGGTTGAAACAGATAGCATCACTCTTCACATATCATCCTTGCTTCTGGAAGTTAAAGCTGTGTGATACTAGTCTCCTGTATAATGTAGGAAAAATTGTCAGATGGATGAAGGGCCACTCTGTGATGAGGAAAACGTGAAAAACATTATTCGACTCCACTCCTAACAAAACAAGTACTTTGTATCCTAAAATGAATGTCTCTTACCTCTTCGAAGCGCCTAATTGATTTATACTTCCTAAAATAAACTTATCCTTGCTTGTTCTTTTCCAAGCATTGAGAATTCTTATGAAAAAAATAAATAAAAAAATAAAACAATCTCTTGCACTTATTTAATGTGAAAGACCTGGATTCCCATATTTGCTTTGTCTCATTTGTGGAAACAAAACTAGGTGCATAAAGCACTTGTTTTTTAACTTCGATTAAAACTATCGTGATAATTCAATTGAAGATGCTCATTCTGGAAACTAGGATTAGTACTTTATATTTCCATGCTAATGTATCACAAGCTGGCTAAGGTTAAGCTAATGAATATATATACATGTCTGAACTCTAGGTATAAATATTCGGGGAATGTATGCAATACTATATTGTAAACTTCAAGCATATTTTAGGACTAATGACTTACAATCTCATAAAGCAACTTTTATCAGTTACTGATTCAGCAAAGATAAGGGGCAACATAGTCACAAAACGACCACAAGATAGTAAATATTGAACTTGCTTTAGTTGTAGATGCCTACCTCACTATCTTCAATAAACGAATCTCTCAACATTAAGTTCTTTTACAACCGCATGCCATAATAGTGTGGAGATACAGGACTCGGGAATGTTGAAGGTGGTTTCTTCACAAATGGATGCTCCAATAGTTGAGCAGCTGTAGGCCGATCATCAGGGTTAACTTGTAAGCATTTGAGAATAAAATCCTGAGCATCTCTTGATAAGGTGTCGGGTATAGGAGGTAGTTCACCCCGTCCAATTCTGAACAAAGCTTGCATCTGTCATGCAACAAAAAGAAATGCTTCTTACTTACCACGTAACAGAGGAAAGTATTTGCAAATTCTAGTAATGGCAGAATAAAAGGTATAAACATTCTTATTATGCACAACTAAAATATTTGTTGTCTTTTCACTATTTCTGTTCCATCTTATTGACAGCATTGAGAGCAGGTTCTGTTTTTAGACATTCAATATTCAGGCCATTGATGACAGTTTGAAAGTCACCCAAGAACCTCAGAAAGAAGCAAAGAAGTCATAACTGCAGGGTGCAGTTGAAATACAATTCAAAGCAATCATCAGACATGCCACCAAGGTTTTAAAGCAAATATAGTAAAGGAGTCGTGAAATTGAAATAATATACTAGAAAAATGCACCTCTTCATGTGATTAAGCAGTCACAACATTCGAATAATTTCAGCACATAATTAGACAGAAAATCTTGAACATACAAATAATCAAGATACTAGATTTTTACATGGAAAACCCTCCAATGCGAATGAAAATACCAATGGAGTACAACCACCTCAAGTCCTCTAAAAAATATCATTAAAATGAAAACAGCACAGGTCTCATCAGTATCCAATCAGAAGAATGAGGAAACGACAAGCCAACTGGTAGAATCTCAGTCCAAAAAGAATTTAAAAAATCTGAATAAAAAATAATTGGCAAAGGCCACCATCACAGAGCTTAATGAAGACAAAAAAAAATTTGCACAAAAAGAAATTAACAAATCTGAGTAAAAGATGGTTGGCAAAAGTTACCATCACAGATAAGAATGAAGAGACAAAAAATGAATTTAAGAAACCCTCTTAAAATATTTTTGACATTAGTATCTTACAATTTCTTCATGAAAATATAAAAAGAGAACATGTATAAATTTATGAAGATAAATAAAACGAATGGTGTTAAGATAACTATTTTAGCGAGTATTATTGCTTTAAGTGAATTAGACTTTCTGATAAGATTCTCTTTCCTGTTTTATGTTAGAGAGACAGAATAAACCAGATTCCATGATCGAAACAGGAGAATATTTATTAGTTCTATTGTTGTATACATCTCAGGCTAATAGCAAGCTTCAATCTTAAAATGTTTTTTTGCAAATCGTATTTAGCAAGTTGCATGACAGTCCAAATCATTGCCTACAAAGTGTTATAGAATAACTATAAATAGCTTCAGATGTACATACCCCTTCCAGGTGAGAATACGGGATTTGACCAGTTAACATCTCCAAAACAGTGCACCCAAGGCTCCATATGTCAGCGGAATGGCCATAGCCATGGTTCCTTGCCTTCACGACCTAAAAGGATGTAAGGTTTTCAGGTCATGGCAACTTTCAAGGTTTGTAATACGCATAAGAACGTAAACCACAATAAAAGAAAATTGTTAAAGCATTCCATCTCCTCCACAATTGAGCTAACAAACTAAAAGTTGTGGTCCACAAGGTAAAGAATTCGCAAGATGTAAGTTGTCCCAAGTAGGAAACAGAAATGTTAGTTAAATCCTTCAACAACTCAGGCAACTTAGTCATACTTCATATTTGAATTCCAATAAATGCAAATTAGTTTTATTCGGTTGCCAAGAAATCATTAGAAATATGAATACTCAACCATTTTGTTTCAGAAGAGGGGTGTTGAATGATATTCATTTATCATAACATTGAAGAAAAAAGTCAACAGACTATCCTATCTAGAAGAGAGCCAAATCGTATATCTGATATAAACAAAAGGAGCAAGATAACTAGACACTATGAAATCATATTTCTCCAAGGAATTCAAAAAACAAAAAATAAATAAATAAATTTATTCAAAGAGATGTATATAAGTGCATGGGGCCACTGTTGAGGATACCCATAAAGTACTAGATTTGGGAAACAAAAGATACCTCCGGGGCCATCCAAAATGGTGTTCCTTTGCAAGATTTTATGTCATTCAGTTTGGTAGCCTGTAAAATCATGCGAATCAAACTTCATGTGCATCAAAAACTGAATACAACAAAAGGAAATAGTTATCTTTTGTGTCTAAGAAACCAACCTTTGCCAATCCAAAATCTGCCAGTTTCACAGAACCACTTACATCTACCAATATATTGGCACATTTGATATCCCTAGAAGAAAAGAGAAAACAAAGTTATCTCAGAAATAAGAAAATTCTAAACATACCCGTCTTGATTCTTCTAGTCTACAAGTTCATGAACAGGCATCCGTTAGATTATAAGAGACATTTAAACTCCTGCATAAATTTCTGTCATGTGGACACCTTGTGAATTACCCAATTTCAAATCTATTTTTACCTAATAAATAACATTTAAAATTGGGAGAGCAATGGACAAAGAAAAGAAAAAACAGCCGACATTGCCTATTCTGGGAAAACTACAACTTCCAGAATAATAAAATAGTTTTGCATTCGTAGGTAAAACTACTAAGAGAACAACATGGAAGTTTAAACGAAACGGTGAAAAATAGGGAGAATGATGACCCTCTGGAAAAAGAGGGGGAAGATTTTGAATATTAATAATCTCCATTCCCCACAAAACCTAAGTAATAAAAATGCTTGTGTCACCTGTGGACCACATCTTTGCAATGGAGATAGTTCAACCCACTCAAAATCTGCCTTGTGTATGCAGAGACTTGGGAGTCTCGTAGTCGATACTTTTGGTACAGCCTCGCGAGTGAGCCTTTAGTTACAAGCTCGAGGAAGATATAGAGTTTGGCATCATCCTGGAAGATTGATTTCCAGTAAATATTAAAAATGAAAACCATGAAATCTATTAATGCACATTCCTAAAGAGAAGAAGAATGCTGTAAAATGGAGCATCCACTCAAAAAGATTACGGATAACACATACCCTGTCAGTACCAAGATAGCGAACAATATTGTTGTGTTGAAACTGACTTAGAAGAGATATCTCCTGAAAGAAACAATCAAAATTAAAATGAGGAGAAAAATCAAATCCAAATTAACAGTTGTGGGGGCTGGATTATTTGCACTTGCATATTCAATCGACACAAAGTTTTTACTTTTTAGAATCAAGACATCATAAATTCTTCTCACCTGTTCAAGTTGAAAAAGGCTTTGCTGGCCTTGGCTAGGGTCAACTAAAGAGACCTCCTTTACAGCAAAGAAGAACCCGTCACTGCATGAGTTGAAGAAAAACATCGTGGGGATCCAAAAACAACAATAGAAAATTCATTTATAACTTAACCAAACATGAAAATAATTTATTTGCTTTTAACAACACCAACCTTCGGGAATGCATTAATTGAATAGTACAAGCTCAATTTATTATTTATTTTTCAAAAAAAAAAAAAAAGAGTGGGGATCACCAACATATCAAAGAATGGATAAAACTTCCTTGGTAGAAAAAGATAAGAGATCCAGCTTAGTTGAATTATGAGGAGGCTATCAGAATTCTCAATTTCGCTTAACCATGTTTGAAATAATTTCTCTGTATTTTCTAAATCATAGTGGCATAAATTTCTATGACAGATTCATTGGTTCGAGATATGAAGAGTCAACTTGATTCTCTTTAATCCAACTGGCTGAACAATTTGCTTTCCAATTATAGGAGAACTTTCAATTTAAATAATGATCTCTACATAGTCATGTAGGTGAACCTACTAGAAGATTACTGCTAACAGAAGACTGAAAAAAACAGATAGTAAAGGATGATTTGATGAACAAACAATATACGTTGAATCAGAATTCTCAATCTTTAAGAGCTATTTCTGGAAATCTGTAGAAACAACGTAAATAAGTTAAAAGGCCAATTAATGATGCAAAGCGGATTTTCACATGGTTGGTAGCAGAACTGTTTGTATTAGAAGGAGTGGCACAATCCCAATCATCCCAACCTATGTTTCCCAGAAAGCCAACTGTTAGGTAAAGGGGAATCCAGAATGGCCTACTCTCACATATTACAATATTTTGTTTGGCAGTGATCTCATGGTTCATTTTGGGATGGCCCATTCTCACATTTCCTAGCCCAACATATATTACCATGGTCCATATGTAACCTATATCCTAAAACCATATGCTCCCTTAATGAAGGAATTTGTTTGTGTAGAGGCTCTCATCTTATAGAGCCTTATCCCATATACTATGTTCCTCGTACTATCTATCATGAACTAGTCTATATCACAAATCACATGCTTCTCTTCTCTTTTCTCCTCTCTAATAACAGACTATGGAAAATAATGTTAAAAATGGGGAAATTAACTCAAATAAGGAAACTCAGTCATGGGGGAGACTTAGCACTCCTTTTCAACTCAATCAAGTCTCTTCATACATTTCTATTAGAATCAGTTCAACAATATAGAAAATATGATTCATTTCAGATAATAATTTCTGAGATATCAAACTTCCATATTGCACAGTGACCAAGAAAAGCCATTGCCTTGTCTAGAGTTTGTCAAAGTATCCATTGAATTTTCAGATATTAAAAGCATAATTGTGTCCTTTAGTATACAATATACAATTTACCAGGAAGAAGATTCCACAGTTAAAAGCATTCTTTCTCAAGGAATAATATGAATACAAGTTCAAACATGTAATAAGTTTAAGGGGAACCTACTTTTCCTTTTTGCTTTAACGAAGAAAAATTTCATACATGACCATGTTAGAGATCTTCAATGAAGTTCTTTTGTAAGGCTAAAAGAATGCTTACTCGGTGAAGCCCTCATAGACCGTTCCAAATGACCCACTGCCGAGAAATTCACCTTTCTGCCAAGAGCTAATACTGCACCTGAACGAACCGTTTGGCGAGACAGAGTATATAGTCTCCACAATCAAGTTAGAAGAATCACCATCATTCTCGTCGTTTGTTAAATCTGAACTCAATTCCCTACCAACGGCGGTCACATTATTCACACCCTCCTCGATTTCTTCTTGCTTTCCAAATTCTCTCCTATTAACTTCCTCATTTTCTTCAAATTCATCCACCAAACTACTAACAGGTGAATTCAAGTTTCGATCATCTTGAGGACCAAAACCCCTAAATATATCCCATGTAGAACTCGTATTGTCCACACATGACCGCGTAATTACAGGTGGAGGTGACAATTTTGGTGGCCTAATGCCTTTAATCCCCCAACCACCATTACTAAGCAGCTTATTTTCAACTTCATTTTCGCTAACGTTATTAACCAAAGCTTCACTTTTATCCAAATTCAAATAAACTTCATCCTTGGACTCAGCATCACTAACCTTAACCCCATCTACAAATCGTTGCGATAATACATCCGAAACAGAGCGATCATTAAACCCCAGGGTCAAATTACTTGAAGGAGACAAAGCCCTTCGAGCTTCCCAAGCCGCCACGGGAATCGAGAAGTCCTCGGGCCCCGAAAGCCCTAAAGATCTACAAATTCGATCAAATTCTCCATCAACTCCTTCGACTCGGAAACTGGTCTGATCAGACAGTGAAAAGATGTCAAGCGATCGAGTCTTGTGGACCGATCGATCATCGAATGAATTCGACGAGGAGGAAGGTGAAGAAAACGAGCTTGCATCCGCATCGTAATCAATGTTCTTTATCGCGTTCCGTCGGTCAAGCCTCGGCCTCTGCTGCTGATGGTGCTGCCTTTTCTGCTTCAAATGAATCATCCTTCATTCCCAACTCTCTCTTCCTCTCTCTATATAGACATACACATAGGCATACAGCGTATAATTTGTATAGATTAGTGTGCGTGAATATTCAGACGAGACGGCGTTACGGCTGCTTTAGCTTGTTCTTTAAGCTCTGCTTTGCTCAGCAAAGAGGGAAATGGTAAAACACTTACGCGTTGCCACGTGGCCGCCCACGGATACTCGTGGCTCTTTAGGATTTCCCAATTGCCTGCAGCCAAAATTAATAATTTGAGGGGCCCTCTGCTGAAAAAAATTTGCGTCAGATTTTTGTATTTTATTAAACATTTTTATTTATTGTAAGATTTTAAGTTAAAAAATGATTATTGACAATTGCTATTATCGAATTGAAAGTTAAAAAGACCAAAGTGCCCTTGATATACATTCCTCCAAACTTCCAATTATCACCTACCTTCACCTGTATGTAGCCCTCATTTCTTCAAATTTATTTTTACCATACATTTTATAAGACTTTTAATTTTTTTAAATTTTTTAATAATACATTTCACCAACTTTTATTAAAATATACAAAAAATCTAATAAAAAATCCAAATCAAACAGAACTTTGCCTTCTTATGCACTATTTCGCATCAAAACTTCCAAAATTGCAAGGGTCGTAGTCTTTCTTCTATCCATCATCTTCCCTCCTTTCCCTTGTTTTTCCAAATTCTCTGTGTCGTGAGTACAATCTCCAAATTGCAATTGTCGTTGTCTCTCCCTTCTTCACCAATGACACAATATTTCATGAATAATTCTACTCCTACAAAGTTGGTGTACAAAAGTGGAGTGTTAATGTGTGTTGGCAAAATCTGAACGCTTGATTTCAAATGATTTAAAAATCTGTTTTTGAAATAATTGGTGTAGATTTGATTTTATAACTTAACTATGTAAACCTCCTTTATCATTATAGCATGACTCATATTTCATAGGGCTATACTTGCTGTATACTATTGTGTACAGCAAGTTGTACACTCCCCTCAAACGAAGAGGCCCCATGATTAACATGGGATCCTTCTATGTGAGAGGAGTGTAAGTTTGTGTAGCAAAAATTGCTTTACAAGCATTTATATCCTATTTCATAAGAGTAAAATGGACAATCATTACAGCCGGTAAGAAAATTTTGAATTACTCAAGTTTTTGCTAATTTTTCCAATATTTGACTCTCCAACTACTTCGATTATTTTGACATGACTCAGACAATGGTTTTGTACTCATTATTCATTGTTGGGGACAATTGCTAATTTTGCCCTCCATTTATTTCCTATAAATTATTCATGTGTAATAACGAAAGGAGAAAATGGACTTTTACCTTTACCAAACCTATTGCTGTATGAAAATTTGGACAATGACAACTTTATCTCTTAGCAAGTGGGGCCGTTGAAACTGCAGTATGTTAATGCGTTAGAGAGAGATTCTCTCAACTATGGTTGGGCATGGGTTGGGTTGGATCGATTTTTTCCCCAACCCAACCCAACCCAACCCAACCCAACAAGGTCGGTTTTATTTAAAGTCAATCCAATCCAACCCGATCAAGTTTGGGTTGGATTGGTCGGTTTGGGCTTCGGTCCAATTAAGGTTGGATTCGATTATATTTTTGTTAAATTTAGATAAATTTTTAAAGTTTGAAATTACTTGAAAATTTCTGATTTCTGATTTTTTATTTTTTTTAAATACATATGTAAGAAATTCTTTTTGAAAAATGATGTATAAATAAGTTTAAAATTTATGAAGTATTTATTATTATTATTATTATTATTATTATTATTATTATTATTATATATATATATATATAAACCCAACCCAAACTTGATCGGGTTGGATTGGATTGACTTTAAATAAACTGACCATGTTGGGTTGGGTTGGGATATATATATATATATATATATATTTTTTTTTTTTTTACAATTTTTTGGGATTTATTTATTTCATCACCTTTTTTTTTTTACAATTTTTTGGGATTTATTCATTTCATCACCATTTTCTTAATTTTTACTTTATTATGAAATAACATTTCATTTGAAAATTATATTTATAGGAATCAATCTATATAAAAAAAAATGGACGTTTATAAATTATAAGTCATTTTCATATCTTTACTATTGTTTTTATTTAGGTTTTTTTTTTCATCTTAGATATATATATATATTTTTTTAATTTATCGGGTTGGCTTTGATTAAGTTTTAAATCATAACCCGAAACCCAACCCAACCCAACCTCAAAAATATTTTTTCAATCCAACCTAACCCAACCCAATTGAACTTAAAAAACCAACCTAAACCGATCGGGTTGATTTAGGTTGATTGGGTTGAGCGGGTTGGATTGAGTTGGGTTTTGCCCAGCCCTACTCTCAACCTAGTGAGAGAAAATCCCACTTTGGTGCACACTTGCCTTGAGAGTTTCCTTGTGCCTTTTTTTTTTTTTTTGTCTTAGTTCGATTTTTACTAATCTTTGGTGGAAATTGAATTAAAACATATTGCTTCTTGGTTTTTGTTTTGCTCATTGTGAGTTTTGAAGGTTTTTTAGTCACCATTTTCGATTTTTTCAGAGCTCCAGTTTCGGTCTTTAGCTTTGGCCAGGTTTATTCTTCATTTTCGATTTTATACTTTCAATTTGGTTGGAGCTACTTGGTCAGATTTGGGTGCTGGTTCAGTTGGTGTTTTTGCTGGTCATCCATGGCAAGTTAGGGTTATTCGGATTTACAGTTTGCTTCAGCTTGTTCAAGATTCTTTGGTGTTCGGCCAGTGCTCTTTAGCTTGGTTATTGTGTTCAGCTTGGTTGGTGTTCTTGCTTATGCTAGAATTCATTTTGTGGGTTTATTTTCTCTTTGTGCTGGTGTTTTTCTTGCTCCTCCGGTCAGTTGTTGGGACTTCATCTTGCTGGATTTCTTGGTTTAAAGTTTATTCTACAATAGCTCTATCTTGCTGCCCCTTCCAATTTTTGTTTCTTCACTTGACTGCCCATTTTTTTCTGCTTCTTGTTGGTGTTCTTGGTGTTTCTTCAGTTTGCATGTTGTATATATTGTGTATGTATTGGTCTGCTTAGATTTTTGAATTTGTCTCTGGTCCTTTCTGTACCTTTTGCTGTCTTCTGCAGTCGTCAGGGCTTGGTGGTCGGTATCTTGCAGATTTGGGATTTCTTGGTCAGCTTTCGTCACTATTTGGGTCTGACTTCATAACCCTTTGCAGCTTCTATTTCAGGTTGTTTTGCTTCCCCAGGTGACCCAATTCCACTTTCTTGATTTGGGCCTTTATTTGGGCTGTTTGTTTGGGCTATTTTATTCCTCTCAGTCTGCCCTTTTATCTGTTTCTGTTGGCGGGCCTTTTGCTGGGCTGGCTATTGGACTGCTGGGTTTTGTTATTTTAATTTCCTCCTTGCTAATTTTTGGGCTGGTCTTTCTCTTGTTTTTTCTGCTTCCCAATTCACCTTGGTTTTTCTTCATGGGCAGAAAGAAACCTGTTTCTTGCCACCTTGATGGCTTGGCATCGTTGAAACCTCAGTTTGCTCGACAGTCATCCTTCGTTGGGGGTAATGTTGCTTTTTCTTTGGTGGAGCATAAGAAGGTAATTCTACCCTCTCTTACTGTTTCTTTAACTCTTGGTGAAGAAGATACCGTTTTTGAAAATTCTGATTTTGAAACACAATCAGTGAAGTCGAACAACCAAAGTAATGTTGCCGTTTCTAAAGGTGGGATTGAAAACAAAGCACCGTTGGTTAATCTTTTTAAAGATAATAGGAAGATGGACGAAAATATTATGTTAAAACTCTTTGAAAACCAATCCGAAGAAGTGATTTTGAATATCTCGGACAAAGAAATTATTGAAAATAAGTGGGGATATGGTCTAGTTGGTTATTTCGCCGGTTGATTTCTTGGGAAAATGGCTCTTCTCCGACTTTGTGACTCGTGCAAGGTGGACTACAAATATTTTGTTCACGCAAGTGGTTGGTTGGTGTTTAAATTTGAAACGGATGTGGATCGATTAAGTGTATTGCATGGGGGTCCATATTTGATTTATGGGAGACCGTTAATGCTTAAAGTTATGCCACGTTATTTTAATTTTGATGATAAGGACGTGAGTATTATGCCGATTTGGATTAACCTACCGGGGTTGCCTTTGGAATTTTGGAATACGAATGTCTTGGGGTAAATTGTGTCTAAGGTTGGAAAGCCTATCTCAACCGACAAGATTATGGAAAGTAGAGGCCGACTTTCCTATGCAAGAAATCTTGTCGAAATTGATACTTCTGTTGAACTTGTACGGGAGGTCAAGATTAGACTCCCAAATGGAACGTTGAGGGAACAAGAAATTGTTTTTGAACATGAACCAAAATTGTGGTTCTCGTAAAGTCTTCGATTATACTTCTCTTGGTTGCAACATTAAACATGGCGGTGGGTACAAAGGTAAGGCCAAAAATGTGGTATCCTCGAATATACAAACTCGGGATGCTCATGGAACAAAAAAGCAAGCTAGAAAATCAGCTGCTAAGTTTCAGGCTGCCCCAAATTGTGGTGAAGAAATTGGACAACAATCTGGGATTTTGGATGAGTAAGATAGGCAGCCTCTTAACCAAAATACAAAGCAATTAATGGATGACCAGTAAGCCCAGATTCCGGGACAGGTTGAGGTTGTTAGCAAGAAAAATCGGGCAGGTTCGGGGAAAAAAATATGCTCTTGTTAGCTCCTCAAAATCTGGTCCAGATTCATCATTAAATCCATATGAGGCAGATTCAAGTAAAGTTACAAATGAAAAGCTCAAAGGCAAGGTCGAGGAGTAAAGAAAATTAGGTTCGAAAGTTGACAAGAAGAAGGGTGCTTCCCTTGCTTCACATCATGAAGCTCGCATCTTGGAATATTAGGGGTATGAATCAACCCCTTAAACAAAATAGGATTCGTGAATTTATCGAGGAACATTGCATTCATATCATGGGTATTTTGGAAACAAAGTTGGGGGATTGAAAATTGATGAGAATTTTGAGGACTGAGTTCGACGACTTCTTGCATGTAAACAATTTTTGTACTTATCGAGCCGGATGGATCTTGATTTTGTGGAATCCATCCAAAGTATTTTTGGATGTGATGGAGGTTCATCCACAAATCATTCATTGTAAAGTTACTTGCAAGGTAACATCTTATATCTTTTTTCTTAGTTTTGTTTATGAATTTCATACTTTGGTTAGCCGGCGGCCACTTTGGAATAACATCATGGAATTCAATGCTCAAGTTTCTATGCCTCGGATGATTCTTGGTGACTACAACAATGTCCTCAAATTTGACGAGAAATGTAATGGGGCGGATGTTACTCTTTATGAAATTAAGGATTTTGAAAATTGTTGCCTTTATGTGGCTCTTACGGATGTGCGATCCATTGATTGTTATTACATGTGGACTAATAACTCGGTTTGGAGCAAAATTGATAGGGCAATGGTAAATGATATTTGGGTGCAAAATGAGACATATGTTGATGCAAATTTTCTACTTTCGGGATGCCTTTCCGATCATTCCTCTTGCATTGTTTCCGTTCATGACTGAGTTTGGGGCGCTAAAAACCCTTTCAAAATTTTCAACATGTGAATTAAGCATGAGGACTTTCATGATCTTATTAAATCTTCTTGGAACCTTAATTTACGGGGGACAAAGCAATTTATTCTTTGCAAGAAGTTGAGCAAACTAAATAGAGCATTGAAGGAATTTAATATTAAGCATTTTGGGCACATTAAGGAGAACATCCATCTTACCCAAGAACTCATGAGGCAATACAATAGGAAAATGGTTGCTCCAAGATGCCTCCTTAAAATTAATCTCACCAAAGCTTATAATTCGGTAAGTTAGGATTTCCTTAGAGATGTTCTTGAAGGCTTGAATTAACCCTCGAGATTTGTTGTTTGGGTCATGGAATGTGTTACTTCTCCAACATATGTCGTCGCTTTAAATGGGAGTTTGCATGGATTTTTCAAAGGAAGGAAAGGGCTCTGGCAAAGGGATCCCCTATCTCCTTTTCTGTTTGTGCTTTGCATTGAATACTTATCAAGAATGCTTAAAGCTACCATAAATGATATTGATTTCAATTATCACCCTAAATGTGGCCCCCCTAAAGATCACCCATTTAGCTTTTGCGGGTGATTTGATGCTCTTTACTAGGGGAGATGTCATGTCGGTGAAAATTCTTTTGGATTGCCTCTCAAAATTTGGTTTGGTATCGGGTTTAAGGTTAAACATCCTCAAATCCAGTTTGTATACGGCGGGGATTCATGGACAACTACTTGAGGATATCTTGGAACTCACCAATGTCCCGAGGGGTAGTATGCCATTTCGGTATTTGGGCATCCCACTTGCTTCGGGAAAACTGAAAATAAGTTGTTATGCTTCATTTCTTGACAAAATTACAACTTATATTGGTGCATGGAATTGCTTTTCATTATCTTATGTGAGAAAAGTGGAACTTATAAGGGCGGTTCTTCAAGGAGTTAAATGTTTTTGGCTTTTTATCTTCCCTATCCTGGCTACAATTATATTAAGAATTGTTAGCCATTGTCAAAAATTTCTTTGGGGATCTAAAAAGCCTTTGGTTGCATGGAAGGATCTTTGCCTTCCAAAAGAGAAAGGGGGCCTTGACTTGAAGGATTTGAAGAGTTGGAATTTAGCACTACTTGCTAAATCCCTTTGGAACATACAACGTAAAAAGGACACACTTTCGATTCGATGGGTCCACCAAGTGTATCGTAAAGGAGCTTGCATTTGGGAGATTAGTCCTAGAAAAGAACACTCTCCACTCTTTAAAAAACTGCTGGATATCATAAATTTACTGCTTCAAAGGTAAGCTGGTCTACAGTTTATTGCACAGGGACGAGCTGGACAGTCTCAAAACTGGGAACTATTAAGACCGAATCTGGGCAGAATTTTGAATCTGTCGACTGCTCAAAACAGGGATCTGAATATGGGAGAAAACATAGGCCGTGGACAGGAAAATCTGGATAGTTCTATGGGCTTGCAAACCGCCCAAACCGGGGGCCAAAATCTGGGATTCTTGGACAGTTTTTTCATTGGAGAAATGGGCGCAAAATTCAGCACGAAAATGGCATATAGGCTGAGGGGTACAAAAAAGTTTTGGGCGGCCGACGTTTGGAAAGCTTACATCACTTTGAAACACTCTTTTTTGCTTTGGTTAGGGGCCCAATCAAAGCTCCTAGCTAAATACAAATTGCTTTTCTTGGATATTGACCGCATGTGTGAATTTTGTGGGCATAAAGAGGAAATGGTTCATCGCTTATTTTTTGAATGTTCTTCACTTCGACATTATGGAGAAATATTACTATGGCTTGGAATCAGAAAATCTATGTCTACACTTGCTAGTGCTCTCAAGTGGTTAAAAAAGGAGACCCGTGTGACTTCATGGCTTAGTATGGCTAAGCGGATTGCACTTGCAAGTACCGTCTACTACATTTGGCTTACATGCAATAGAAAGATTTTTGAAGACCTGTCACCTAATTTAGATTGTGTTGTGAGACGGATCAAGACACACGTATACAAAGCTATGTTCTCTTTATATCTAGATGTCTTGATCCATTTCGAATTTTCAGTGTCAAGTCATTGATTTTCATTGCACTTTACTTATTTTTGTTATACCCGAGTATGTCCGGAGTAATTGTATATGATGTTGACTTTTGATTTGCCCGGAAATGCTCGGTGTGCTTGTATATGGAACAATTTTGATTAATGATATTTACGTTTACCGATAAAAAAAGTGGAAAATTGACAGGAAAATCGATTTTTTTCAAACTATTTTTCTCGACTAATGCACTCAATATTTAATTTTTAAAATACGATGTAGTTAGTTTAGAACGGTCTTGTTCTCTTCTTGATTATCCAACAAGGTGAGGACTCCCCGACCCATTTTGGAAAGGAACAAGGTTACATCTCTTTTACATCCTTAAGCCTCGCTTAGGCCATAATCACTTTAATAGAATCTAAAACTCGCTTTTGGTATCGTATAGGCGGGAAGGGTCATTGGGGTGTTTCTTTTTGGAGTGATTCTTCAAGCTAGGTGAATTGGGTAGGTTTGCCCCTCATCTGCCTTAGCAAGGGAAAACAATTGGAGTATGTAGGAAAATTCGATTAATACTTCGAGAGGGTGAATAGGTGTTGATTATGCCCAATAAATAACGCGTAGTCATAACACAATTTTGAGGTGTCGATTCTAGAAGATAGTTGAAAATGCTTAAAGGATTCGAAAGATGTACGTTCTTTTGAATGTGTGAAAAAAATTATTTATTTGAATGAAAATAAAATCAAGGCCTGAAATATTAAAGAGTCAGAATTCTCTCAATTAGATTGGGACATTCAATATTAATGATTCATTCTTATAACTCAATTAGAGATGTTTAACCTAATTTCTCTAATCGGAAGATATTTCATTAAAATCAATTTAATTCAATTGTTAATCTAAAGATTAACCCTCCTGCCACAACATTAACACTTTTGTTTACTAGAATAAGATTCAAAAATAGCCATATACTTTAGGCATAAAGCAGTAAGAAATCACACGAGTAAAAATAAATAAATGAGATTAAAACTCAAACAAGTATTTTAATCATTCAATAGAGAAAGTATACTGTATCTACGAATGATTTAACAATAGTTCAGCCAATCTTAAAACACTTTTATGAAAAGAAGTGTTAAACCATAGAGTTTTTTAAATGAAAATTCTAAATATATGAATCAAATAATATTGAAATCACCTAATTCAATTGAGTTCTTTCTTAGCTTCACTAAGATGTTTAGTTCCCCATGGAATTGGTCATCTCCTTTTATTTTTTCTTCTTGATTCTCCTTCGAAAAAATGTCTTTTAGAGTTGTCTTTCTCATGCCTTTTAAAGTCCCCTAGAAGATTTGAATTTTAATGGGACAGAAAATAGTCCAAAAAGCAGAAAACTTCGTTCTTTTCACAACCGGCACCGTGGCACCCACTAACGATGCTACGACACCTGCATTCTACCTTCCGAGTAGTTTTCATGGGTGCCACAGTGTCAACGGGAAAATTTATTTATTTATTTTTAAGATTCATTCTTCATTTGGATAAAAAAAACCTGAAATTAAACATATGAATATGGTTAGAACTTATCTTAAAATAAGCCCCCGTTTGGCCACTATTTTATAGAAATGAAAATGAGTGGAATAATATTTTTTTGAAAAATGAGTGGTTGAAAAATAAAGAAAAGTTTTTGATTTACTTATAATAATATTTTATGAAAAATTGTGGAGTTGAAAATAAGAGAGAGAAATGAAATGTAATATAATGAAAATTAATGGGGGCCAAACGGAAGCTAAATAGAACAACATTTCAAGAACATAAATTAATTTCTATGATTTCTATTCATTTTTTGGCATTTTAACATAGTAATTTTGATGTTTAAAATACATTTTTGTGTTCTTATCAAAGCCTCAACTTGCTCATTGTTAATCCCTAACAAGTCTATGCAAAACAAGACAATTAATGAATGGTCCACAATACAATTTAAATACTCAAGTTCCAATTTAACCAAAATTCATGCCTTTCGAACTCAACACTAAAAGAAGTTAATCGTGTCGTCAATATCAGGATATCAAAAGTACTTGTAGAATTTATCAAGTCATAGTCATCTTACTGCCAATCCTAACACATGTAATATCAAGTGTGTCTTAAGCTAAATATTCAACACCATAATTCACGGGTATTAAAGTGTTTAGTGTAAGGATCCTCTCTATAAAGGTGATAAAAGATGTACACTAAAAAACTTGGAGGTCTAAACCCTTATGAACAAGCAACAAGAAAATATTGATCTTATGATAGGAACACTACCAAATGAGATTTCGTCCATCCTTTCTACAATTCTATTTGGGATCAAAATAGTCAATGTAAAAGGTTGTAATGAGACTTAGGTTTGTCTGTATGAAAAAAGGGCATACGGATTCAAAGACTTCCAAGTACATAACTAGCTATCTCATCAAGCGTTTCAATAAACCACATCCTTTAATCAATTTATTCTTCAACATTTCAATTCCCAAAATCAATCATCTTTTTTCGAAAACTAGTCCTTGTCACGTGCATTGCACGAATGTTATATTTATTGTGTTTTTATTAGTGTAGAAATTGTGAATGTTAAAAAAATGTTGAAAATTTATTACACTATTCAAGAGTTTTGGGAGCATATTATTGCTTCGCTAATGCTCTATCTATAAAATCTCTATGCATACACTTATGGTTGCAGTTAGTTAAATAAACCTAAGGTGAAGAATGCTCATATTGTCTCAAAAATCACTATATTCTATACCAAAAATTAAAAACTATTTAGTGTTTATGTTAGTTTAGGCAAGTATGTGAGAAAAACTGAATCTATTAGTAATATTATTATGTCTAAACTACATGAGTAGTATGAAATTCTTAAGATATTGACAAAAAAACATTTGCACCAAGTCAAAGAAAATATTGGAGGTCTGCATACATTGTTCTGTTCAATTCAACATTCTATTCTCTGCAACTCATCAACTTTCTAAACAATGGACCCATTTTCTCTATTAAACTTTCATCAAATGCATCACAAAAGAAATTCAAAACAATGGGATCATCAATTGTACACATATTATAAGAATATTAATTCCAGTTAAGCATTGATTGGTCCAATGATTTTTAGCAAAATTGATGAAAAGGTCAGTCACTCATTCATAATAAAACATTGTAAAGACACACATTAACTTAAATAATCGAATCTCCATGGAGAAATGAATTCTTATAATAATTGAATTAAACAAGAAGCATAATGCATGTTGACAAGAAAATGAAATAGAAGCATCCACTTTGCGCAGCATTAAATATCAAGTTCACTTCATTTAGTATACCATTTACTCACTTTTTTTGTTCACTTCTTTATACTTTTAATTGAAAAAATTGCTATAGATGTTGATAGTCATTCAATGAAATAATAAGGTACCTTGAAACGAAAAATCACACAACTTTCATCTTCCATTTAGTAACTACAGTAATCCATCCTTGCTAATACTTGATATCAGAATAGCAATGTAAATTTAATTAACTGTTAATTGTTCGTCACACTTGCCTTGGGAAGCAAAAAATTTTAAACTCTTCCATATTCGTCATAAAGTATATAGCCCGTCCAGAAAGTAAACAAGTACTCCATTGATATATGGATGAAAAATCTAATATTTACCCATAACAAAGAAACTTAAAGGCATTGCAGATGATTAAGAAAATGTGATTTAAAAAACATACCTTTACAACTCCAAAATCTAAGGCGTGTGATGTGAAAGCTATTCGAGCAGAAGTTTTCATCAATTCATATGTAAAAATAAATAAATTCTCAAGAGTAAAATATCCCTTCTCCCAAATGAAGGACTACAATAAACCTTGGATAAATAAAAGTAGAAGATCTTGTAGGTAAAAGTACAAAAAAAAAAAAAAATGAAAAGAAAGATTAAAAGAAGAGGTGTGGAGGTAGGATAAGAAAGATTAAAAAATAATAGAAAAAAGAAAAACAAAAAAATTATATTAGTTATAATTTAGCTCATAAGAAAACTGAATTTTTATTATTAACTTTCTTTCAGGTGCATATAGACAGTTCCAGACAAGTAAATAAAAAAATACGAGTACAATTTTTAGTCTCATTATCTAAATAAGAACAATACCCAACTCAATTTGCCTTTGTTCATCGACTACAAATGCAAATATATAAAAGATTTAAAAAATATGTCATGGGTTCAAGAATCTAAACAAATATGAATCTGAAATGCAATTGGGTATATAAAATTGACGAGAAAAATACCAATTTCGCAAGATGTGCATTAATAATATTGGTAAAACGGTCCTCAGAGTAGTCCCCATCACTACCGAATAATTCCACCTCCTTGAGAAAAATACCTGACTGCATCAGAGCCAAATCTGTGTACCAAGTCAATCGGCTCAAGTGTATTTCCCAATGGCATTCCCATTTTAAAGCTATTCTAACAAATGAAAAGTATTGCTCATTAAATAAAGTAGATTAAATGAGGAAAATGGTAAACAAATTCATTACGATCTGTATTTTATACAAGTGAAAAATAGAGAGAAATTATATTAGAAACAATCTTTTACAATCTTTTAAGGTTTGAGGTAAAAGATGAAAAACTAACTTAGATACTTTTGTCAAGAATCCATTGTAAAAAACCATTTTCGAGAGGAATATACCTCTGGCAACCACCGAGCTGTAAAAAGCCAAAAACTCAGGCTTAGCATTCAGAAAATTTATTACAACAACTGTAAAAAGAGCATGGCATGTTCAGAGATAAAATATGAATTTAGCAAAAAATTTACAATTTGGGTGAGAGAGAGGAGTTTGATCATTACGATCTGTATTTTATACAAGTGAAAAATAGAGAGAAATTATATTAGAAACAATCTTTTACAATCTTTTAAGGTTTGAGGTAAAAGATGAAAAACTAACTTAGATACTTTTGTCAAGAATCCATTGTAAAAAACCATTTTCGAGAGGAATATACCTCTGGCAACCACCGAGCTGTAAAAAGCCAAAAACTCAGGCTTAGCATTTAGAAAATTTATTACAAAAACTGTAAGAAGAGCATGTCATGTTTAGAGATAAAATATGAATTTAGCAAAAAATTTACAATTTGGGTGAGAGAGAGGAGTTTGAAAGAAACAGAAAATGGGATTGTAAGAGAGAAGAAAGATAAATGGATGTTGCGCAAAAAAAGTATGGAAATAGATGTTGTGTGAAGAAATAGGGAAAAAATAGATATTATGTAAAGAAATGGAGAAAAGTAGGAAAACCAGAGAGAAAAAAAAGAGGAAAAAAATTACCGATAAAAAAAGAAAGAAAATCTCTCCGCACAGTGTGGAGAGATCAATTCTCTCCGCATTGTGCAGAGAGTTTTTTCTTTGCACTGTGCGAAGAGTTTTGTCATGCCAACTCTCCGCACATGATTTGTCATCTTTTTGCACTGTGCGAAGAGTTTTTTCTCCGCATTGTGCGAAAAGTTTTGTCGTGCAACTCTCTACACA